AGGCTCCTATAGCTGAAGGGCCTACGAGAGACTGCAGCTGCAAACAATAACTATTTGATCAACTTGGGAAGCTTGTAAGATCATTCCTTCACCACCACCTTATTCTTCTCCTTTTTCCCGCACATATCTCAAACTGCATTCCTGGAGGCTCCTGTGGTTGAAGAAGGGCCTAAGAGAGACTGCAGCTGCAAACGCTAACTGTTCGATCAACGTGGGAAGCTTGTGAGCTCATTCCTTCACCACCTTCGTATTCATCACCTTTTTCCTCAGTTCCTTTCCTTTCCCCTTCCCCTTATTTTCTATTTCAATTCTTCTTCTCATTCTTATTTTCCTCCTTTTTCTTCTCCATCATCTCCCCCCTCTCCTCCCTTTCCTCAACTTCCCGCACTCATTATATGTTTCCAAATTCCGATCTTTGAGAATATTTTCCCATCTATTTGTTACACGTATTGCAAGTCGATCCGAATTTCCCATTCTTTTGTTCGGCTAGTTGGCAAAGTTTCGATTACTTTTCTTCGTGCCAGTCTGGTTCTCACCTCGTTGGATTGTTTTTTTCTGACTTGGTGATTGCCAATGTGCATTGCACTTGTTGCAGGAGTAGGCCACTGCAAATCAACGAATGATGGCTCAAACCCGCCCTTAGCCTACTTATTCGGGAAGTGCACCAAGTCAAGTGAGTTTCTTAAGAGACTGATGTTGCCTGCTTAGCACTAGATTCAAACCATTGACACAAGGATTTTCAGTCCTTTGCTCTAACTGCGAGGCCACTGCCTTTATGAGCCCCATTCGGCCCCTTTTTGGAGCAAGTCGGCCGCCCTAAGTGAAGGCAGGCTCGATGAGGCCCTCAGGGCCCTATTTTGACCACTGCGCACCTAAAGGAAATTCAGGCAGTTGCGCAGCGCCAGTTGGTTGAGAGAACCCAGGCCCTGGGCCGCCTGTGTGAACGTATGGAAAGCAGGCCCTGGGCTGGATACGGGTACTGGGCCAAACACAGCCCAAAGGCAGTTGGGTGCATGCAACCACCTCAGGCCCAAGGCCTGTTCTTTATCGTGCTGGGCCTCAAGCTACCGGGGCCTACTGGAAGCTTCCTGGGACTGAGCGCAGGCAGGCCACTTTGATATAGCGAAGGGCCTGCCTCCACATTGGGGATTCCGGTGTTGGCTGCATGCTGCGCAAGCTGCTGCGCTGAAGCTCGCTGGCACTCACACGCTCACGGGCGAGCAGGGAGGAGCAGGCAGCCATAGCCGAGCTGCGCTGCTGTAAGCTGGGTGTGGCGCAGGGTGGTCCTTGGGTGCAAGTGGCATCTGTGTGTTGGGGAACGAGGTTGTGAATGAGGCGAGAAACATACCTGGTGCTGGAAGCGTGCGACATTGGTCGCTCTATGTTCGTACTTCGGGAAAGTTGTTGTCGTCATCATTCGGCATTGTAGTCTAGGCTAGATAGGATCTACCATCTGTAGTCTGGGCGCCAAGCGCCAAATAGGATATCAACATTGGTTCTTCATTGATGATGATGATGAGACTTTACCAGCATTGTCAATTATGAGCTCTTGGTGTCTTCTTATTTGGTGAAACTCGTGATGCAATTCTGTTGTTGGTTCGAGGTCACGACCATCTGGTCTTGTGTATATGATGTTGTTTGATGGCTGAAATTCGCTATTGCTCATCTTCCTTTCAATTTGGTATCGGAGCTGTGGTACGATTGCGCTCATCTGGCGCTTGTCTTCTGTCTAAAGCGGTACATACATGCGGTCTGCTTGGTGAGTTGGGCCGTAAGCGGTGTGTAGTGAGGAGGGCGGAGACGAGTGAGTGGCGACCCAGGAGGTGAGGGGACGCCAGGAAGGCTACGGTGTGTAATGTGGGTGTTGGACAGTGTGATGAGAACTATCCAATGTGCGATTGGTGTTGAGGTGGAACGGCGTGTAATGCTGGTTGTGCCGAAGCAATGACCGGTCATCACAATCGGCATCAGGTCATCTGGTGAGATTATCTTTGTGGTTGGGGGCAGCTATGTGAGGTACGTTGCTCTTAACCTTATCTACCCTCTTCGACACTTCTTACCGTGAAGTTGTGTGTTCCTTCTTGAGAGTCCTCTCATTGTGAGGTGTCGAGTGCACTCAACCTTCAGAGTCGGCAATTTTCACGTGGACCATCTGGGAGGAGATGGGCGGAGCTTTCTGAAGGGCCCTGGACGAAGCACTGGGTCACGGTCACCATGCCAACCCACCGGGAGTAGAGCACGCATGCTTTGCTGCTTGTCCTTTGTTCGGCTTGCTGAACTGTTAGATGGGTGCCGAAGGGCAGGCCAGCCCTAAGTGGGAGACGAGACCGGACGTCTTTAAATAAGTACCGGAAGGGGAAACCGTTGGCTGTGATCGACGTCCGGCTGCAACGTTAAATAACTCCTGGAGACACTTGGGGGCGGTCGTTAAATTCCCTCTGGATCAGCCAATGGTTGTAAGGGTCGCTGCACGCGAGGATAATCCAGTGCACGGCTGGCCAGCTCAGCAGATACTAGGGGCAAAGGGGTGGGCCGGACACACACCTTTTAGACACGCAACGCTCTCCGGATTGCTCAGGGACGCTGACTTCAAGTGACATTCAGGGGAACTAAGGGAGGGGTAGATTTCAGGTGACAAGTAAAATTCCATATTGTCCTACACAAATGATTCTATTTTTATGCTTTGATTAGTTAGGCGTACAGCCATTTGACATCTGACAGACAGCATAATTAAAACTGTATCTGTTCATTGTGCAGTAACCCTGTTCAGCAGCAGACCGGGGCTCAGAACTTTGTCCCCGGTAAAACACAGACTCAGTTGTCTGTGCTGGGCTATGTGACCAAGACATGCCCAGCCTGAGTCTGTCGAGGAGGCTGTGTGACCGAACGCGGCACAAAGGAAATTCAACAGTCAAAGTCAACTGTAGAGTCAAAGGTACCGCGCCCAGGCCTATGGTCGGATACATTCACTTGTTGTGTGCAGGTACCCAGACAGCATTCAGGGCGGGAGGAATACAGTTTCTGGCCAATCTGGGCCCTCATTCACATCGACAGTGCAGGACTTCAGCACCCGGGGTCCAGACCCCGCATCCACGCTATTTAAGAGTTGACTTCCTGGCTGGAGGACATTCAGTCTTGCGTGAATGCTGACTTCACGCGTGGACTTTGACGCTGTTGCTATGCTGCGACATTGCGACATTAGCTTGACGCCGGCTCTATGCTGGCAGGGGAGGACAGCAAGGCGCTGCTGGCTGGCATGGTGCTGGCTGGCGATGGTCTTCTGGGCATGCTGATGTGGCAGCTGCCACGCACCGATGCTGACGTGGCCGCTGCCACCAGTATATGTTTGATGACGTGGCGGCTACATGATTGATGAGGCTGTTCTGATTCTTCGTCACTTCGGAAGGGGATCAAGACTGTGGTTAACGAGGATACGTACCTGGTTGATGACGATACTCTCCAGTTTGCTGATGTAGACAGATTGACGTGCCACATGGGACATTGAGGAAGAACTTCAGACATTGTATTGATTGATGAGGTGTTGAGGAGGAGGAGGGACCCGAAGCAGAAGTGGGCTGTTGTCTTCTTCTCTCTGCTTTGTCTATTCCCCCTCTCTCCTCCTTCGTCTGTGTATGATTCTCACCTCATTCTATCATCACACACATTTGCGATTGTTTGTCATTCATCAGCAGATCGATAATCATATGGACTGGTAATGTTAACGAGTATCATCACGTCTGGGCTCATTGCAATTTGGTATCGGAGCAGATCTTCCGATAATGTGACAGAGACGACAACGACAATTGGTGGCATCATTGAAAAGGCTGTCGTGGACAAGACTGCGCACGTCAGATGCTGACGAGGCATTGACGTGGCATTGATAATAGCGCACGTCATATGCTGACGTGGCATCAACGTGGCATTAGAATTTGGACAATGTAGTATCGCTGACGTGGCCGGTGGATGATAGCAGATTGATGATGTGGCATTGCTGACTCACCATTCGGTGAGATAGGAGGCTGACGTGGCAGTGTCATATTCAGTTACCTGGCTTACGTGGCGCGTTCGTACCGCTCCTGACGTGTACCCCCTCGATGATGTTGACTGGATTACGGTGCTGACGTGGCAGACAGAACTGCTGCTGTGTTGGCACTCCAGGGGATACACGTGGCAGGTTGGAGCTTCGACTTTGGGGCAGGCTGGTACTTCGATTTCAGCATACATTGCTGACGTGCACCCCATTGATGATATTGATTAGACCTGCTGACCTGGCATACTCATCGAGTTGCTGAGTTGGCAGGCCAGGGGTGACACGTAGCAGGCACGACCGTGCTCAAGTGAGGACAGCATTCTGATGAGTGAAGCGGCACGGCAAGAAGACTGACGTGGCTGTGGTGCCGAGCGTCAGATTGGGTGTTGGTCACACAGGACAAAGAAGGACGAAACAGCAAGAAGGGGAAAACGCTAACTATTGATTGATTTTCGTTGGCGGACTTACCAGTTGTCTGGCTGTGTTGTGTACCTGTGTACTCACTTGTGTTTGTTGTTGATCATGCTGGCCTGGAGTTGCGGTACCTGAGATAGAGTAGGATGTCATCACATTGAAAACAGAACAGCAAATAGAATTAGAAAACTTCTGTTTCTTATTATTATTATTCTTTTTGACTCAGACAGCGTGTTGGTCCAGGTAACCGTAGAATTATTGTTTATCTTTTGCGGTAGAACAGTGTGCTGATTCAGGTGACCGTGAATTATTGTTTATTTTGCGGTAAAATAATCTGGCCAACGAATTTTCATGTTTCTGTTCTCTCAAGATGTCTTACTTCTGGAAATGTCTGCAACAGTCTATCTTGACGAGATTCCTGACTACTTTTCTGTTTCCTTTTCCGATCACACTTTCCGTTGGGGAAGGACACTTTGAACTTAGGACAAGGGGACAGGATGACAGAAAGAGAGAGGAACTGTTAGCCTTGTGGAATCAGTTTCTTGCCGAGGTGCAGTTGTCTGGACCGGACGCCGAGCAACACATCCGTGATAATTTTGATCTTCAGGGGGTTGAAGACCGCCTGAAGAAGTCTATCACGGCTGTGGAGGTTGTGGCAGCCGGTACAGACGCCTCCAAACTGATTGCTCAAGTGCGACAGGCTCTAGACCAGTTTGCTTTAAAGCAACTGGAAGAGATCATGGAAGCTACTCGCAAGGGGGAAGTAAAACCAAAAGTAAGTGAAGAATCGATTGATTCCAATATCCAGCAGCTAAGATAAGCTTTGGCTGCGAAAGAAAGAAAGAAAGAAGAAGTATCCCGAAGAAGAGAACAGGAACAGCGAAGAGGACAAAGAGTTAAAGAGATCAGGCAAGTAATAGGAACAAAAGTAGGCGAACAGACTGATATGTCACAAACGTTGGCTCATATTGTGACATATCTTACCTTTCTTGAGGAGAAGATTGATAGACAACAAAATGAGTTGGATGAAATCATTGTTGGATTGAGAACAATTGCTAATATTGTGAAAGGTAAGAATCAGACTCAGGGAGAAGAAGAACAAGAAGAGAAGAAGGAGAAGAAAGAAGTAAAGAAGTTCATGGGGGACGCAATGAAGTCTGCTGGTCCCGTGATAAAGACCAATGGAAATGGATCAAATGGAAATGGATCCAATGGAAATGGATCAACTCAACCATCTACTCCTCACTCTTCTCATTCTTCTAAGCCTACTCCTAAAGAAACTCCAGTAAAGACAAGTGAACCAGAAAAACCGAACAAGAAAGAAAAAGTGAAGATGAAGTTGCCGTTTACGTTTTGCAACAAGAAAGAAGAAAGTCTCTTGTTGTGGATTGCAGAAATCCAGACGTAAGTAAGTACCGCACCCGTTGAGCCAGAGTCCCAAGTTGCGTTCACCACTTCTTGCATGGGTGGTGAGGCCAAGCAATGGGTGTTGGCCGAGGCCAATGCTGTGGGTTTCGAAGACATCGGTGAATGGGCGAAGACTGACACTGAAACAGTTCTTGGCGAAAACCAGGGACCATTTCCTCGACAAGACGGCGGCCAACAAGGCCTTTGACCAGTTGACGTCAATTGGTCAAAAGCATTGGATGTCAATTGAGGCTTTGTCCCGAGAAGTTGATCGATTGTTGCAGGTTCCTGGATTGAACCTGAAGGACAGCCAAGTGTTGTACATCTATTCCCGCGCGTTGCCTGAGCCCATTCGGGGACACTTAGTCACCGAAGCGAAATCCGATAAGTACAACCACAGGCAATTTCGTGACCTCGCTTTGCAAAGGGAACAAATGACTTCTCAAGTCAAAATTTCCTATGCGGTCGTGGTCAAATCTGGAGGAGGAGGAGGAAGACAGTATAATGGGAAACGAGTTCTCTGGCGACAGAAGCGCCAGGACCACACCCTTGTCGTCTTTGATGACGACACAGTGGAAAAGTGGCCGAACGAGGAGAATGATAACAGCAGTGACTCCGGGAAGGGGGAAGTCACTGCTGTTGTGGCCAATAAGGGAGGACCACCCAGGACAGAAGGGAAGAAACAAAGAGCGTTTCCATGGCACCCTGGCATTGCTGATGGGAAGCCATGGATCGAAATGGGTATGACTAGAAAGACTTCGCAGGAGCGCATGGACAATGCGCAATGTCTCAAGTGCGGCACACCAGGACATGTGATCACCTACTGCCCTCAGATCCGGAACCCAAAAGCAAACAGCCAGTAGGAGTAGCATTTGCGCCTACTGAGATTAAGGGTAAGAACGAACAGACAGGTAAGGCACCTACAACCCCTTCCTACCCTTCTTCTAAATTGGCAGAGGATGATTCTTCCTTAGCCCATCATCCAAATCGCCCTGACATTGTCTGATGTTCTGTCTCTCTGGATGACTCCCTTGATGAGYTAGGTAACGAACTGCTAGCATTACGTGGCTCATGGGCTCGAAAGGCGAAGACTAAGGGCGAGTTGTTGTTTGCAGACGTTGAGGTCGCACGAACACAAGTTCGTGCGATGTTAGACCCAGGATCAACGAGATCCTACATCTCGGAGAAGGCAATCCGTAAGTTGCATCTCGGCATGAAGGTAAAAGACTTGTCTCGACCTATAACGTCTGTGTTAGCAGACAAGAGTACGATCACTGTCTCTWAGTGTGTTGATCGTATTAAGTGTCAGTTTCGAACGAGGGAAGGAAAGAAGATTGTGCATGAATTATCCTTCCTCATAGAAAAGAATTTACCTTTTGATATCATTATGGGTATGGACTGGCACGAAGAAGACATTGATTTCAAAAACAAGATTGTCCAACTCAAAGATGCACAATCAGAACTGAAACCAATCAAACTGTATCATAAGTCTGGCTCTGACTCAAGTCGATCCTTTTGCTGTATGAGTTATCCAGCCTTTCGCTCAATGGTTTCTAAGAAAAAGTTGGAACAGGAAGTTATGTTGGTGCTGGTAAAGAAAGCCCGTGAGTCTTCTTTTTCCTGTCCTCCAACGATTGAAAGTCTTCTCTCCGGATATAAGGATCTGCAGAAAGAACCCACCGAAATTACTAAACGTACTCTAAAGCATACTATTGAGATTATTCCGGGTAGTAAAATTCCCAAAGGCCCTATCTATCGAATGTCTTCCACGGAACTTGAGGAGTTAAAGAAGCAACTGCAGGACCTTACTGACAAGGGATGGATTCGCCCTAGTTCATCTCCTTATGGAGCACCTGTCTTGTTTGTGCCCAAAAAGGAAGGTGGATTACGTCTATGTATTGACTATCGAGGGTTGAATGTCGTCACTGTCAAGAATGTCGAACCACTTCCTCGCATCGACGATTTACTTGACCAACTACAGGGATGCAAATACTTGGTAAAATTGATCTGAAGTCTCGGTACCATCAGATCGAGGTGGAGCCTGCGGATCAACACAAGACTGCTTTCCGGACCAGGTATGGCCATTACGATTGACTAATGCTCCTGTTACATTCCAACGGTCAATGAACGAGTTATTTCGTCAATGGTTGGACCAGTTCATCATCGTCTATCCGGATGACATTCTCGTATATAGTAAAACACTAGAAGAACACGAGAAGCATCTTCGTCTGGTTTTGAGTAAGTTGCGAGAAGGCAACTTCAAAATCAACCCGAAGAAGTCTGAGTTCGCTAAGTCTAAAGTTTTATACTTGGGGACATATAGTGAACCAAGATGGCCTCAGGCCTGAAGAAAACAAAATATCGGCAATTAGAGACTGGTCACACCCTAAGTCTGTAACTGAGTTACGATCTTTTCTTGGCTTGGCAAGCTACTATAGGAAGTTTGTCAGGAACTTCTCATTGATCGTTGCACCAATGAGAAGATTGCTAAAGAAAGGAACGATCTGGTCGTGGGACAAGGATTGTGAGTCCTCATTCAAAAGGTAAAGTACGCTCTGACTCACTATCCTGTTCTGAAAATTGCTGATCCATCTCTTCCTTTTATTGTCACAATTGAGGCAAGTCAGTATGGGATTGGCGCAATTCTTCAATAGAACGACGGCAATGGTTACAGACCGATTGAGTTTATGTCTGCACGATTGCCATCTGAAAAGGTTGCCAATTCTACCTATGAAAGGGAATTGTATGCGTTAGTCTGTGCCTTAGACACCAGGAAACACTATCTATTAGGAGACACTTCACTGTGTACTCAGACCACTCTACCCTGAAGTGGATAAAGACACAACCTAGGCTCTCTGATCTATTTGAAGAGCCAACAAGGGTTGTTGACAGTGAGGTCGTCCACGCGATAGAGATTATCCCAGGGTCTAGCATCCCAAAGGGTAGGATCTATCGAATGTCTCCAGGCGAGCTCGATGAGCTTCGCCGACAACTCAAGGAACTCATAGAAAAGGGTTGGATCCGGCCGAGCGTCTCTCCTTATGGGTCTCCAGTACCATTCGTACCTAAGGAGGAGGAGGGAACACTTAGGATGTGCATTGACTATAGGGGCCTCAATGTCATCACTGTCAAGAACAGAGAGCCCCTACCGCAGATCGATGATTTGCTAGATAGAGTGCAAGGGTGTCGATACTTCAGTAAGATAGATCCGAAGTCCGGGTACCATCACATTGCAATCCGGCCCGAGGATCAACAGAAAACCACCTTTCAGACCAGGTACGGTCTGTACGAGTTTGTGGTGATGCCTTCCGGCCTTTGCAATGCTCCTGGCACCTTTCAGCACGCTATCAATTGGATCTTTCACGACTACTTGGATAAGTTTGTCAGCGTGCACCTCGATGACATACTTATTTTTAGTAAGACTATTGAGGAGGACGTTGCGCACTTGGACAAAGTCCCGAGTCTTCTGCGACAGCACAAGTTCAAGATCAACGGTGAGAAGTGTGAGTTTGGCCGCACCCGTGTCTTGTACTTGGGTCATGAGATTTCCGCGGAGGGATTGAAGCCCGATGACGCGAAGGTGGCCAGCATTCGTGACTGGCCGCGTCCTCATTCAGTGACTGAGATGAGATCTTTCTTAGGGATGACTGACTACTATCGCAATTTGGTTAAAGACTATAACATAGTTGCCGCCCCTTTGACTGATCTGACCCGCCTTAACACCCCATGGGAGTGGACCGAGAGATGCGAGGCTGCTTTCAGACATTTGAAGCATGCGTTGACGCATTACAAGGACTTGTGACTTCCTGATCCTGAGAAGCCATTTATAGTAACGATGGATGCTACCCAATATGGCATAGGCGTCGTACTTGCACAACAAGAAGGGAAAAAGTTGAGGCCAGTTGAATACATGTCCAAGAAAATGTCGTCTCAGACGTTGGCTAAGTCCACCTATGAGAACGAACTCTATGCGGTTTACAAGGCTCTGACCCATTGGAGGCACTACCTCCTCTGGAGTTTCTTCATCCTCAAGACTGATCATCAGACCCTAAGATGGATGAGAACTCAGTCGGCACTCTCTGACGCTCTAAAGCGTTGGATCGAAGTCATTGAGCAGTATGACTTCGAGCCCCAGTACATCAAGGGCGAGTACGAGAAGGTTGTTGACGCCTTGTCTGGTAGACCTTATTTCTCCCGTGCGCTGATTACTAAGTTCAATCTTGCGGACAATGTTACTCAGTCTTTGGTGGAACCCTATCGCGAGGACCCGTTTATTGCCGAGATCATACGCAGACTCGAGGCGAAGGACAAAGGGACTTCTGCCGAGTTTGATCAACGGCCTGTCGTTCCTTGAGAATGCAGGGAATAAACGTTTTGTGTGTGCCTAATAGGGAGTCTTTGCGTAGTTTATGGGGAGTGTCATGATGCCACCGGCCATTTTGGATACAAGAAGACCGCAGCTAACCTGCTGCAGCGGTTCTGGTGGCCCACAATAATGAGAATTGCCCAACTGAACGTGGAGACTTCTCAGGTCTGTCAGAGAGACAAGCCACGGACTCAGGCTCCTCTTGGGCTCCTGAAGCCCCTTCCGATTCCGGAAAGGCCTGGTGAGAGTTTGTCCATGGACTTCATGGATACGCTGGTTACCAGCAAGAGTGGGATGAGACACATTTTCGTCATTGTGGATAGATTTAGTAAGTATGCTAGATTAATAGCCATGCCGAAGACTGCGAAGACCGAGTACGTAATCAAATTGTTCAAAGAGAACTGGGTCAAGGATTTTGGATTGCCCAAATCCATAGTGCGCGACAGAGATGTCCGCTTCAGTAGTGAATTGTGGAAGGCCGTTGTTGCAGAGCAGGGAACCCAGTTGCAAATGACTTTTGGGAATCACCCATAGGGGAATCACCCATAGGCCAACGATCAGGTCGAGCAACTGATCAGTCTAGTGTTGCATCGGGTACTTTTGAATTTGCCTACAGGTATGAACAGAAGATGCAGCAGGCGGTAGAACAGATGCAGAAGGCACAGGCAGCAATGATAGAATCTGAGAATAGTCACCGCCGACCTTCTACGTTTCAGGTTGGGGACAGAGTCTGGGTAAAGTCCTCAAAACTGGAACAGGAGTACGGGATTTCCCGCAAACTCATGCCCCAGTACTTTGGGCCATGGGAAGTCTTAGATATTGTCGGGACTGATCCAGATGGGCCATCTTATGTAATCCAAATCCCTGGTCATCTCCGTACTTACGCTGTCTTTCACGCCTCCAAGCTTGCTGCCCCCAATCATGGACGGAGAGGTGGATATCGATGATGTCGTGGACCACAGAGAGCTGCGAGTTCCAAGACCAATCGGCAGGGGACATCTTCCGAAACCGAAGCTGCACTACCGCGTTCGGTTCCGACATCATACCGATCCTAAGGAGGACCGCTGGTTCACTAGGGAAGAACTTATGCAGACCGCTCCTCAAGTTGTAGCTCAATACAAGAAATCTTTGCAGAAAGGAAAGCGCTCGATGGTCGAAGACTGAGCTTCTCAGAGGACTGTTGAAGCTAAGGAGGAGGAAATGCGAGGCCACTGCCTCTATGAGCCCCATTCGGCCCCTTTTTGGGGCAAGTCGGTCGCCCTAAGTGAAGGCAGGCTCGACGACACCCTCAAGGCCCTATTTGACCACTGCGCAACTAAAGGAAATTCAGGCAGTTGTGCAGCGCCAGTTGGTTGAGAGAACCCAGGCCCTAGGCCGCCTGTGTGAATGTATGGAAAGCAGGCCGTGGGCTGGATACGAGTACTGGGCCAAAAACAGGCCAAAGGCAGTTGGGTGCATGCAACCACCTCAGGCCTAAGGCCTGTTCTCCATCGTGCTGGGCCTCAGGCTACCGAGGCCTACTGGAAGCTTCCTGGTACTGAACGCAGGCAGGCCACTTCGATATAGCAACGGGCCTGCCTGCACATTGGGGGTTCGGGTGCTGGCTGCGTATTGCGCAAGGGCTGCTGCGCTGAAACTCGCTGGCACTCGCGCTCACAGGCGAACAGGAAGGAGCAGGCAGCCATAGCCGAGCTGCGCTGCTGTAAGCTGGGTGTGGCGCAGGGTGGTCCTTGGGTGCAAGTGGCATCAGTGTGTTGGGGAACGAGGTTGTGAGTGAGGTGAGAGACATACCTGGTGCTGGAAGCGTGCAACATTGCTCGCTGTACGCTCGTACTTCGGGAAAGTTGTTGTCGTCATCATTCGGCATTGTAGTCTAGGCTAGATAGGATTTGCCATCTGTGGTCTGGGCACCGAGCGCCAGATAGGATATCAACATTGGTTTTTGATTGATGATGATGATGAGACTTTACCAGCATTGTCAATTATGAGCTCTGGGTGTCTTCTTATTTGGTGAAACTCGTGATGCAATTTTGTTGTTGGTTCAAGGTTCCGACTATCTGGTCTTGTGCATATGATGCTGTTTGATGGTTGAAGTTCGCTATTGCTCACCTTCCTTCCATAACCAACTGAGCTAAACAAAAACAACATCAAATTATGTTCAATTCAAAAAAGTCAATTTGAAGATTACCAAAGGCACATTTTGGTAATCGTACCCCTACTGCAGACTTTAAGCCTACGCTAGTTAGTCGCATTGTCATTTTTTCTGTTGAAACCGTGGTGCTGTGTAGGTTCCCTGTTGTTGCTCCTTACCACCATCTCCACCGTGAAAATGCGACCTTGACCTCTCCCTCGACTCCGCTGCACCGATGGATATCCATCCACCTCTTGATCTACCTCCGTTACATCTCCCAACTCCATTCCCACCTCCTTTACTATCACAGACTCTTCCCCTACCTTTGCTGGACCTCCAAACCTTCCTCTAACCTCGATATCCATCTCGAACTTGTCCCCTACCTCTCGTGTACCTTCCAACCTCCGCTAGACCTTGGTCACTCTATTGCATCTCCCAAGCTACTCCATCGTCAATATCCATCACAGGCCCCACACCGACCATCGTCGCTCTCTCGACCATCCTCCTATCACCACAGCCATCCCTGAGTCTTTTCCTATCTCAGTTGAACCTCACAACCATCCTCCCACATCTATAGTCGTCTCAAACTCTTTCCCTACCTTCGGTGTACCTCCCAACCCTTCTTCAACTTGCATAGCTGCCCAAACCTTCCTCTACTTCCATCCCATCAGGCAAGTCTCCCCGAACCTCCATATTCATCCCCAACCCTTCCCCTACCTCCGTTGCACCTCCCAACCCCACATTGAGCTCCATAGCCATCCTAATTCATCTCTCACCTCCACTACGCCTCCCAACTCAACCACCACCTCCATATCCATCCGGGACCTTCCCCTCCTTCCGCTCGACCTCCCCATCCCCGCTCTCATCTCCATAGCCATCCCCAACATATCATCAACTCCAGTGGACCTTCTAACCTCCCTTTAACCTCTACAGTCGTTCCCAAATTATCTCCCACTGCCGCTACACCTCCCAACTCAACCCTGGCCTCCATATCCATCCCATACCCCTCCCCTACCTCCGACGCATGTCCTACCCCCTTTTCGCCATCCATAGCTATCCCCAATTCATCTCATAACTCCATCACACCTCCCAACACCGCCTGGAGTTCCATAGCCATCCCCAACTCATCTCCCACTTACATTGAACCTCCTACCCCACCTTCACTTTGATAGCCACCCCTCACCCTTTTAATACCTCTGCTACACCTCCCAACCCCACTTCCCCCTCCATAACCAACCCTCACCTTCGCCTTCACCCTTCACAATCCCTTCACCTCACCCAGCCTCCATAATCGGGCATCACTGCCACCTTCACCCTCCACCCATCTTCAACAAAGCACCATCCCTAACCAATCTTCACCTCCACCTTCGCCTTCCACCCTAATTCAATCTAAATCCGCCTCCACAACCATAGACACCTTCTCCCTCCACCCTCACTCGAACTCACTTAGGCGCGATAGTCAACATTCACTTTCACCTTTCATCTTTCTTCAACATCACCCACCCTCCATATCCTACCATCACCTTCACATTCATCTTACATCCTCCAACCCCATCCATCCCCCATAAACAGCCTTCACCTCCACTTTCAGCCTGCACCCTCCTATAACCCAACCAATCCTTTAGAGCCAACCTTCACTTCCACCTTTACCCTCCACCCTCAACCTCAATCTATATTCTATAGAAATTATCTATTCGTTCTATTATGCGCAAGGTAAATGGGGGCAAGCAAACGGCAAAAAACCAAATTGCATCATCACAATTAAAAACCAAATAATCGTGTGGCAAACACAAAGTAGAACCCACCAAGTTACACACCAAATAAGAACAAAACAACGAGCTCCAATGTCAATGTTGAAAGGATTTCACGATGTACCAAAGTCCCAGGCCCCAAGCCCAAGTCCCAAGCCCAAGTCACAATCCCCAGTCCCAAGCCCAAGTCACAATCCCAAGTCCCAAGCCCTAGTCCCAAACCCCAAGTCCCAATGCCGAGTCCTAGGTTCTAATCCTGAATCCCATTCCGTGTTCTATTTCTGGTTCCAACCGGTGTACCTTGTCCACGAATACTCTAAAAGAGGAGTGCTCGTTTGTACCATGATTACATAGGCCTATGCGAGCTAGTTAAGTAGATCGAGGCCTATGCGAGCTAGTTAAGTAGATCGAGGCCTATGCGAGCTAGTTAAGTAGATCATGATAGGAAGTCGTTGGTAGATAACCATCATGGGTTGCAGAGGTTGTCCTTAGGAAGCACTACAACTTCAGTCGGAATCACCAGAGCCGTTAGGCGAGGTGCCAATCGATCCACACAAGCAGCCAACCCAAAAAAGTACGCGAGCTTCCAGAAGCACGGAACAAAGGTAAGAGGACCA